CAACTTTCCTTATTCGATTAGAACTCTTTTGGAAACCAATTTGGACGTGATTTTCAACCAATTTTCGGCTCCTATAAAGAGAGAACAGCAGAATACATATGAAGGACCTCCCTAAACTTAAAAATCTCTATATTATACATATTTTGGAGGCGAAGAACGTGGCTGACAACGTGGAATCAAGGCGAATTGCATAGGATATTGAAAATTCTTCATCCGGATTCAAGTTTCACATCAAGAACATGAATTTTTCCTATTTCTTCCATCTTTCTTATTTTTGGGTGATATTTTTCTAATTATTCTTGTGTAATTTAATTATAAGAATGTTATGCTAAGTTTTTCATTGTATTGGATGAATGATGAACCCTTTTGTTTATTTATTTTAATTCAAGACAATTAGTTTAGTATTTCTTGATTTTTCTTGATTGGTTTTGCATTCTCATTGAACTATTTGATTGTTTGATCACCAATTAGATAGTAAGTTACTTTTTGTAATGTAGGAATACTCACAATAAGTTTAGAACGCGGTAAAATCAACACATGGGCAATAGGTACTAGGAATAATATCTATGGCATGTGCAATCATGTGTGATAAATCCTGTGATTCAATGCATGTTTTTCATATGAATTCGGACTAGGAATAGGATCGGGTCGTGTTACACATAGGTTTAATATATTTTGGAAAAGAATATTAAATAAAAGTGGATTATCGATTGTCTTGAATGCATGAATTTACTAGATTACGAATTAGGAATTGAATTAAATGATAATAGGGGGATTCACGATTCCAATACAAACATTTACATATTAAATAAATACTTCATTTGTTTTGTTATTTTAGGATTAATATAGAAAACATACAAACCATCTTTTTTGATATTACCACACTTCGAATTTAATAGTAGCTATTGAACTACAAATTAGACCTTATTCCTCGTGGGAACGATACTCTTAATTCACAAATTTTATTACTTGTACAACGATCACGTGTGCTTGCGGGTTTCACGCGAACAATTACAATTCAGATGCCTGATTTAATAGACACAAGGGATTCAGATGATGGGCTTGAAGTCAAGAATTCAGTGAAAACACACGGCGATCAAAGAATTGCAAATCCTTCGCCATCTGCTGCCCTGCTAATTGATGATTTGTTTGGAGACAGTTTAGAAGATGGTGAGAGCACCAATCCACAAAAAATTGATGATGACCCTTTTGCAGATGTTTCCTTCCATGCCAGTAATGGTAATGAACATGCTTCTGATATGTTTTCTGGGATTACTGTTGATACTGAAGCCCATGTAACAGCTGATAAAACTGGGCCTGAACCATTTGACTTTTTTCAATCCAAATTCTGAAGCTCCCAAGGGTCAAGGTAATCCTGGAGATGTTGCTGACTTCATGGCTATTTTGTCTATAAATGGAAAAATGACCAAATTTTGAAGTAAAATAAAAGCTCTGTTGAGAAGCATTCTGGAAATGTTGGCTTTGTATCAAATATGAACCCTATTTTGGCTATATTTGTACTTGTTCTTCAAGAATTGGAGTTATATTTCTGACATTTTTCGAACTCCAAATGTACACTCCTGCCCATGTACTAATGAACTTCGTAAATTTAGTGTTATTTTTCCCAGACATGGGAAAAATGTTAAGAATATTGGGTCTAACTCCACCTAATAAAACCGGCTTANATTGCCCTCACCTTATTAAGTGGATCATTTATATTTTCTCAAGTAATGTGGGATTCTAATACGTCCCCTCACGCACAGCGTGGACCATGCCAAACAACTTTGAACAAATCGATATTTGGTAGCACCCAACATTGCATAATTGGGCCTAACTCTAATACCATGTTAGGAATATTGGGCCTAACTCCACCTAATAAAACCGGCTTATTAGGGGAGGATTGCCCTCACCTTATTAAGTGGATCATTTATATTTTCCCAATCAATGTGAGATTCTAATAAAAAATGTGAAAAACAAGCATTTTTAGAGACTTGTGTTTCATAAGTGATATTGCCCCGACATTTCGAAGAATGATTTTGTTAATATGAGATCCTTACAGTCCCGTGGTTATAATGATCACTGACATTTAATTTTGGTTATAGTGGTTGAAGCCAGCAATATATTTTCCTACATGTCATAGCTATGTGTTGTGCTAGGAATTCCATGTAGCATTGATAGAATGGTGGGAAAATGTGAAGGAAAATTTAGATTTTAAGATATCATCCTGATAAGATAAGTTGAGATTCGGGTCAGGGTAAGAATGATGTTTAGTTGATAATGGAAACACCAGAGGTCTCTGAATGACAGGCAACTCTTTTTCAGAAATAGATTGGGATCTACCCGATATGAATGAATACAAGAAAAACTAAGCTTGTGAAATTACTAGTCTAAAACGTATTGGGTATGTTGGACTAGATAGAATAAAGAACAAGAATCTCGTTTTTCTTTAAACTCTGCTTAAATCTCTTTTCTTGATCAAAGCCCTATTTTGAAGTAAGAAGACCTTCTTGAAAACGTTGACAACCAGCACCAAGTTTTTCTTCTTTGGAGAAACAGATTTCAAGTGACAACTACTGCGTTCCCCTATGGCTTCTTCCTTATTCTCGGATTCAGAATCTAAGCCACTGCTTTCCACACAAGAAATGCTCTGATGAATCATTTCCTCATTGAAATCTTCCCACAGCATGTCCATCTTCTCTTCTTCTTCTTCTTCTTCTTCTTCTTCTTCTTCTGCTGCTGCTGCTGCTGCTGCATTCGTGGCTTCCTTGTTCATTTCTCCTTGTAACTTTGAGAAACTTTTCCTGAAAATCTTTCCTCTTGCTCCATTTTCGAGGTCAAAATCTGTTCTGTTGGAATGAACAAGAGAGGAAATTCTCCACAAAGATGGTATAACTTTCAAATGCTTGTCGACGTTATCAGGATAAACCTTAGGGAAGGTGAACTCTTCTGTTTTCATACTTGAAGTCACACAAGCAGGCAGGCAGATGATAGTTTGAGTTTGAATGTAAATGGAAGAATGAAACATTATTTATGATCCATTATTGAGATTAGCTTTAATTGGGGGATTGAATCATCTGAGCTACCGCCGGATTGTTCGGAGGTTATGCATTAATTGTTGATAGCTACTTGTAACCCCCTCCTCCTTCCCTGCCTGCCTTGTGGAGAATGAATTTATGAATCAATCACACTATTTTTAGATTATTCAAAATGTATCAATAAAAAATTATTTTATAATAATTCAAATATCATGACCAACTCAATGGGCAGGGGTTATTTGGTCGATGTAGACGATAGAAATCGGATCAACAAATTTCTCACCTAGCTAAGATTTCCACATCTTAAACTCACTGGTTTTGATGCTCAAACTGGAACAAGAGGAGAAATAGTTATTTGGGAGGGAGACATTTGAAGTTGCATGTTTTTTCTTATGAAGTGGGGGTATTTATAGATTTCCCTTCAAGTTTTGGAATAATTCAGACATTTAAAACAAATAATTGGTCTCAACCTCTTATTGGCTAGCTTGTTAACTAATTCTGTGAGTATCACCTTTTATTCATTGGCTTACGTGTTTTAGTAACGGCTTTTAGCCAACTTGGATGATGAATGGGTTTGCCCACTTTGAGCGAGCCTTTTATGCTCTTGTCTCTCCCCTTCCCCCGTATATCACTTGAGCTTCACAGGCGGAAGGAAATGTTGGTGGAGGATATTTCTTGATCCAACAAATAGTTCTTGAAATTTGATTTAATTATTTATATTAAAGCTAGGACCTCTATTATATTATGCTACGGAATCACAAACTTACTTATGGCTTTGCCTGAACATATTTTTCCATGTTTTTCCGAGATGACATAGGTTTCATTAAGAGGATGTGTTTAAGATTGAAGTTACATTATGCGTATTCTAATGGGCTTGTTTGCGATTTTCAAGGCTAGTGGCCTGATAATGCATTTTATGCGCTTATCTTGGCTTCTGTTCTAATTTATTTATATATAAATCGAATTGCAAGAGATCAATTGGAAGTATTAATGGAGCATTTGGTAACAATTCATAAGTTCGGAAGTTAAATTTGGGTATTTCAAAAGTTTGAGGACTAAATTACAAACTCCGAAACTTGTCTCGGGTCAACTATTATGATTTTTGAATTACGAGGGCTTAATTGGAAAATAAAAGAAGATGGAGGAATAAAGTTACATGGAAAAAGGAGTTCAATTGAAAAATGAATTGTTACCTTTTATTTCTTAAACTCTTTGGTAGAAACAAATTCGAATTCTTTGGTAAAAATCAAGTTGAACAAGCATTTTTGCATAAATCTTGTTCTATAAATACATACCTTAGTTCAATAATTAAAGAAGGCTTATAGGATTTCATTAGACACATAAATTCAAGTCAAGGCTCAGGGAGTTCATTGTACGTATATTATTCAAGCCAAAACGAGAGAAAAATCAAGAAATCAATTAAGAAGCCAGGGTTTCAAGATTTTACAAGAAGAATGCGGAATCTTGGTGCAAGATCTTCATCTTTTTCACGTTTTTTCCTTAAAATCCACTAATGTACTTTAATTTCTTCTTGTATTTTTATTCTCTCATGATATGTAATTAAATATTTCGTTAGGATGAATGATTGCAACCTAGTTTTGAACCATAATTTTAATTAAAAAAATTTTAAATCTCAATTGATTCTGTAAACTGCTTTTACTTCTATTCTTAATGGTTAGATTAATTGGCCATTAATTCATTGATTTTGTGAGCAATAATTAAACATAAAAATACTTATGCTAGTTATTGCAGTCGTTACATAAATTCTTAAAACAATAATTGCGTTTAACTAAAATTGATTCACATAGAAATATGAAATTGAATTAGTTAAATAGACACAATTAGAACTCGAAAGGGTAAATTAAATACATTAGAAGAATTTGATCGAGTAAACATAATCAATTGTATCAAATTTGGTGATTGAGATTAAGGAGATAGCTATGGTAAAATCATGAATCCTAACACTTAAATTATCATATAAAAAAATACTTTTATTTTAGTATATTTAAAATAGAAAATCACAAAAAAAATACACACCTTTTTTTTTTTTTATCAAATTAAAGTTAGGAATAATTGAACCAGTTGTTAGATAGTAGTTTTCGTGGGAACGATACCTGAACTCATAGGTCCACTTTATTACTTGTTACGATCCATACACTTGCGATATATAAAAATTGGCAACATGGACCATGTATTTAATGTGCATTGGGATTACGCAGGGTTTTGCCCCCGTTTGTTCCAAGATTCAATCAACTACTCGTTCATTTTCAACTATCATGATTGTGATCGACAAATTTCAACGGTTTATACCTTCCGTCAGAATGTATAAATAAATCATTACTTCTTTGGGTGTTTTTTATTTTGCTGCTTTTATTTTCTGGATTTGGTTATGTTCCTTATATTATTCAATGGTTTTTTTTATCGGGGTACGCGTTTTCTTCTCCTCTTTCTTTTACGTTTTCCTCATGATGTATTCTCAAGATGGTTCTTAGAATGTGTCGTATGATTCTGATTCAAGGAGTTCTAAGCTTATATATGATTCTTCTAGTGCCTCTTTCTCTTATGTGGAAGTGCTATACATCGATGTGCTTTCTTATAAGGCAGTTTACTTATTCTGGCATATGCGTCAACCCAGAACTTTTTAGGCAAGCTAGTAGGTTTGGACATGGTCCGGTTCAGTTTGGTTCTAAAGATACCCGAATTGAACTAAAATTTTCAGGTATTTAATAAATGGAACCGTCGGGCTCAAATATAATTATGGAACCGTTCAAGTTCGATTACATTCGGTTCGGTTCGATTCGGTTCTGTATCATAATTAATTTTTTTAACATTTATAGCAATACTACATAAATAAAAACTAATGACATTTTCATTCGTAGCTTTTACAAATTAAATGCATTATCTAACATTAAGAATGTTGAATTCCATCTAGTAGGAACATCAAAAATAGCAAGTTTTTGCATACAATCTTTTCCCTTTCAATACAATATTTAAATTTCATCAATCGTGAAGGAGATGATCAAAAATATCGAATGAAAGTATGAAATTGAAAAGGGAATGATAAAAACTTAAAAAGCTTAGATCTTGGGCTTAACAATGAAATTAATAATTGGACCAAAAAATTAAAACAAAAAATTGAATTTAGAAATTGGGTTGGGGCTAGCTAGGCATGGATTTGGCTTGGGAGTTGAAGCACTAATCACTAATTAGTTAATTTGCTTAGAAAAAATTAAAATAATACAATTAATTCAATATAAAAAATTAAAAAAATTATTTAGATTCGGTTCTTGGTTTAGAACCGAGAACCGTACCAAACCCATCGATTCTGATTCAAATACTCATTCAGGGTATTTAACTTATGAAGAACTGCTCGATTCGGGTTCTGTTCGGTCCAGTTCGGTTTGAGAGTTTTGTCCAGCCCTACGATCGAGTAGTTTTCGACCTGAATAATTCTCCTTGTACAACTTTGGATTACAATAATGGATGACAATCTCTCACAAGGGGTGGGGCCCGCGATTATTGTAATCACGGGCCCCACCCCCTTGTGAGAGATTGTAATCCAAGTGTTGTACATGTAGCATTATTGTTTCGACCTATGGTTGGGGTACACAATGAGCAATGCGAACCTTCGAATGAATCAATTGACCTTAGTAAGAGTGATGAGGAGATTTTTTAGCCTTCAGGAATTTTTTCCAATCTTATAGAACAGGACTTAGCCAAAATTAGGGCCCGATTTAATGTCTTTGATGAGATAGAATTATTATGTCCATGACGATTTCAAACAGTGGATCACCCTCCTAGTTGCATAGCCATTTCATAAACATTCGATGGATACTGGACTTAGAGTATCCTTTTATTATTTTTTTTCAAGATGTTTTTTTTTTTTTCAATATTGTCCTTTCCCAACTTACTCCAGATGGGTGGGCCCAACTACTTGAATCTTTCTTATTATGGGGATCTATAGGTTTAGAGGGGAAAATTTCGTAAGATATATTCCGTTCTATTTACTTTCCTGTGCAAATGGGAAATAATGCAAGCCCTAAAAAGGGTATTATTACCTTTCCTAGGACATGTCCAGAAATTGTAGTTGCTCCTACCTAGGTGTCTAACTAGAATGAGAGTTTTTCTTTGTTCGCGACAACTTGGGGTTTCAACCTAATGACCCCAACCCTTCGGTTGTTACGCCTCGAACCTATAGTGAGTAATGAGTGCAGTAAATATTAATTTGTCGATTATCTCTTTGCTTTGAATTTTTATTTTCTTACAGTGGTAATATGTTATAGATAGACCACTTGTTTTGTTTCACAATCGAGCTCTGGCAACCTTCGCGCTTTAATAGCTCTTATTTTTAACTTTTCTCCTAACGTTCGCGAAATTGAAAAATTGTTTCATTTTTTTTAATTCAAAATTTCACAACGTTGGTGTTCAAACTACTATGAGTAAGTTTATACTTTAGATATTTTGTTTCTAATTGGGGTGTGATACTTTTAGATGGTCCCTGATTTTCTTCTACTTCTTAGTACAAATATATTTTGATTCAAACCTTCCTAAGTGCTAGAAGATGTCTTTTTCTAAGGATTTAGGCTATGGTGGTCCTGAAGGGAGTGGTCACGTTTCTTTTAGGGGTATGACCATGCAGTCTATCCTCCTGACAAGGGTTTGGGGTATCAAAGTCCCCATTGTCGTTGCTTCAATTCAAGGGCTTTTGCCCTTAGAAATTGTGCATCCTTCTTTGCCCATCCGAGTTAGGGACTTCTCTAAAGAAAATGGAAAATGTCAAGTGGGTCCGGACAAGCCTCGAATCCTGAAGTTTTTTCTATTCCTAATTCTGGGTCTTTATTCAGTTTCCACCGTCATGATGAGGTAGATGTGGGGGTTCTATTTGTGCTTTTCCCTTTTATTTCTTGGACTGCGAGGTCTT